ATGCAACAACTTGGAGAACACAAAAACAAAGTTAAAGAAGAGTCAAGAGAATGCTATGATCTAAGACTATGTAATAGAACTTAGGAGATGAATTTTTATATTTGTGTATACTTGTGTGTGTGCTTTGTGCATTGAGCAAAACTTGTCTAAAATCAAGTAGGGAGTAGATGATGATGAGTTGAGAACATTGGAAAATTATTTTGAGACTTAAAATGAAGTTTTAAGAACTGACTCAAAATAATCGATTATTGTTAAATATAATCGATTATTTCAGCAAATGGGCTAAGTGGAATGCCTTGCTGTAATAATCGATTATTTGTCAAAATAATCGATTATTTCAGAAACAACTCTCTGGAATAATCGATTATCCAGCTAAATAATCGATTAAATTGTTCTTGGTTGATTTCCAGAAATCTGAAGAACAAAATAATCGATTATTCTTTAAAATAATCGATTATCTGGGTTTGAACTTTTATAAATAGACTTGAACTATTTTGAAACTTCATAACATTGAGTGAGAACTGATAATCAACTTCTAAAAACGCTTTAGAGAGTCTGTGTGACATCTTGGAGAGGTTTCTTTGTGAAAATCCAAGAAGAAAAACATTTGTGAAAGAACTTGTGAAAATCATCATCATCATCATACCCTTGAAAGAGAAAGACAAAGAATTGTTCAAGAATTCCAGGTGAATTCGTTTCATGTTTGTTTCTTTGTGAATCTTTGTGGAAAATCTTGAGAAGGGTTTCTCAAGTGATTAAGGTTCTTGTAGTGGGATCTACAAGGGGTGCTTTCTTGGGGTCAAGAAAGTGATTATCTTTTAGTAGTGAAGTATATGCATGTGTGTTTGCTTGTAAACCTTCTTGCTTAAAGATAGTGGAAAAATCTTAATCAGGTGGTGATTAAGGACTGGATGTAGGTCACATGTGGAGTGGCTGAACCAGTATAAAAGACTTGTGCAATCTTCTTCAACCTTATCTCTTGTTTTGCAATTTCTTGGTTGAGCTTTAAAGAAGATAAAACTTGATTAACATGTGTATGTGAATTTAGATGGGTTAAATCTATAATTGGATATTATATTTGAACATCATTATCTTGTAATCAAGTTGCACATTGCATTCATATCATTGTAACAAGTCTTTAAGAGTGCTTCATTTGAAAATTCTGTCATAGAAAAGTTTTGAGTGAAATTAAGATCCAAAAAACTCTGATAAATTTTTAAAGGGTCATTAAATCCAATTCACCTCCCTCTTGGATTAGGCCATTCTTTTCTAACATAGTGGTCCAGCCCCAAGGAGGAATTTACGAAACTCAATTGACGGACCGAGTGAACCAACTCGGTAGGAAGGACAGTGTGCAAGGCATTGAAGTTCCATTCTCCATTAACCCAGCAGTCTGCGACCGTCTTGTTGGTGTCCGCAATGTGAACAAATGGGACTTTCCCGTACCAAAGCCCAGTACCTGTCCAGTCCGTGTACCAAAGGGATGAAGCACCCGACCCTAGATGAGGCTGGAATCCCTCACGAAGTCAAGGTAGGGCCTTAATAATACTGGACCAGATTGGAGAAGCCCCCCGCCTGGTTTGAGCACACAGGATAGATTCACCATGAAGGTATAGATTGCTGAGGAGATGAACCCAAGGCTTCTGGGGAGCCGATAGCATATCCCAAACTAACTTCCCAAGACGGGATACATTCACCCTGCGCGCCTCCCTAACCCCAAGGCCACCTAACTCTTTGGGTTGAGTAACAACCTCCCAACTCACTGGGGACCAAAATTGTGTGTTGTCCGGCTTCGCCCAGAGCATACGTCGACATGCCTGATCAATTTTGTTACACACTGCTTGGGGAAGCCATAAAGATTGCATACTATATACAGGAATAGAGGAGATGGTAGACTCCACCAGGCACAACTTCCCTGCCTTATTAAGAAGCTTGGACTCCCAAGCCGCAAGTCTACCCTGGATCTTATCCATCACATCATAAAAATCTGCGCACCTTGGCTGACCATGCGTCATGGGGACACCCAAATAACTCCCGATCTGAGCCGTATGACGAATCCCTAGCAATCCCTCGAACGTATCGATCCTCCTCTGTGAAACCCTCCTAGAGCTCACAAACTTAGACTTACTCAGATTAACTCTCAAGCCTGATGAACGCGAAAAATCCTCCAAGGTTGACGCCACCAAACAAGCTTGGTCCTCGGAAGCTTGGTAGAACAATAAAATATCATCCGCAAAGAAAAGGTGTGAAAGCGGTAGCCCCCCAGGAGATAGATGAATCGGTTTCCAATGACCCTCCTGGAGCGACTCAAATATCCTAAGGGCTAGACGCTCCATGCAGAAGACAAACAGGTATGGAGATAATGGGTCACCCTGCCGAAGGCCACGAGACGGAACAAAGGACGGTAATGCACTTCCATTCCAAAGTAGTGAGATTGACGAATTCTTCAACCCCCACATGACGAGTTGAGTGGTGATCGTAGGGAAACCAAACTGCACCATCGTAGACTCCAAAAACTCCCACCTGACCCTGTCATATGCCTTTTCAAGGTAAATTTTTAAGTCCAAGGAACCCCCACCTGAGCCGTCCTTCCGAACAAAATGGAAGGCTTCCTGAGCAATAATACTGTGGTCACGAGTCCCCCTCCCAGGGATAAAGCTACCCTGGAAAGGACCAATGACGCCTTGCAAGAAAGGTCTAAGACGAGCCACAATGACTTTGGAAATAACCTTCCAGGCGACGTTGCATAAACTTATAGGACGAAAGTCTTTGAGGCTAACCGGATGACTTACCTTCGGAATTAACACCATTTGTGTCTCCAAGAGCGATGTGTCCGAGAACCCCAACCGAAAGGCGTCCTTCACTGTACGCCATAGTTCATCCCCCAATACAGGCCAATATTGTTTGAAAAAGAACGGTTGAAACCCATCCGGCCCTGGGGCCTTGAACGACTTCATGCTCACCACCGCCCGGCGAACCTCCTCTTTCGTGACTGGGGCAGTTAAGGCAGATTGGGCCTCAACTCCCAAGCCAGGCAGAGCTCCAGTAGGCATATCCAGAGGCCCGTGCTCGTTATCACCCGAGAAAAGCTCCTTATAAAATCTGACTGCCTCAGTTTTCATGACCGCAGGATTCGTATGCCAAGACCCATCTGGTAAAAACAACCCTTGTATCTTATTCCTCCGTCTTCTCGCGAGTGTTTGAGCATGGAAGAAGGACGTGTTACGGTCCCCAAACTTCACCCACTTCTCTCTAGATTTCTGAAACCATAAGTACTCCTCCTGAAGACAAGTTTCATCCAACTCAGCTTGTATAGTCCTCTCTAGACGCGACAGGCTCTCTGAATCTCCTAATTCGAGTTGTAATTGTACCCCTTTGAGACGACGTTGGAGAGCCTTCTTCCTAGTAAGTATATTCCCAAACACTTCCCTGTTGAACTTGGTAGCATCTTCTCGAACAACTCGTATCCCATTAGCAAGGGTCGGCGTACTTCGACACCACGCCTCTCTAACAATTCGCTCAAAATCTCTATGGGTGGCCCACGCAGCTTGAAACCGAAAGGGTCGATCCTGAGACTTATCCCTTGAGCCGTCACGTCGCAGTAAAAAAGGGCAATGATCAGAGTAGACCCTACACAGGTTCTCAACGTATGCTTCCGGGAACATTTCTTGCCACGCAACGTTGCACACCGCTCGGTCTAAATGCTTTGCCAACACAGACCCACGGTGATTTCAGTACCACGTAAAGCGAAGGCCCTTAGCCCCCATGTCAAGGAGATTGCAATCATTCAAGACCTCCAGAAACTGCGATGCCCTTGCCATCGAGAAACGACCACCCCTACACTCCGTTGACAACATAACTTCGTTGAAGTCCCCAAGCACTAGCCATGGCATTGTAACACGTCCCCCCAACCCCCGAAGGTGAGCCCAACCCTGCTGTCTGAGGTCCACCCTAGGACTAGCATAAACGGCAGTACAAACCCAGCTCTTGTTTCCTTCAACAACTGTGAACGAAATGGCCTGGGGGTGAGAGGCAAATTCAGAGGTTGTAGCAGAACAAGACATCACCATCAAAACCCAAATACCCCCGGAGTGCCCCGTAGCCTCACTACTATAACACAACTTATAACCCATCTTCCTCCAAAAGGCTTCCACCGAAGAAAACTGGCAATGGGTTTCCAAGACAATAAAAATAGCCGGGTGATGAAGCCTTACTAGCTCCGAGACCCTCCTTTTACCTTTGGCATTAACAGCCCCTCGAATGTTCCAACACAATACATTAAAATTTGTCATCATTTAATAAATAAGACACGAAAAAAAAACTCACGCCAGCATGTCCTCCTCTTCCAATGGCTGGTCAAACTGCATAAAATCCTCCGTCCCCGGTATCGCTTGTCCACTATCGTCTAACTCATGAAGTACTTGGGTCGTGCAATCGGTTTGGATCACATTGGAGGTCAACCTCCTATCCACGTCCCCTATCACTCCATCTTGCGCATCACGTGGATCACCAAGAGAGGAACCAGCATGCGCAACCAACGTAATCCCGCCAGCTAGCATGGGTCGTGGACGAGCACCAAGGGTCACTCCATCGTGCGCATCTCGTGTGTCACCGAGAGAGGAACTTGCTAGCGCGGACAACGTTTTCTCACCAGCTAGCATGGGCCGTGGACGAGCACCAAGTTTTTCCACTCTGCTGCGTTTTTTATTTTCCTTATTGGGTCCCATTGCAGCTTTATTCATGTTCATTCCGTGGCCCACGTCAAAACTGCATACGTCTTGTGCATGTCCCTGTTCACGTGGAATAGGGGTTACGAGCACCTCACGTGGGTTATTAAACCCCTCACGTGATTCAGCCTGAAATTGAAAGCCCCTCGTAGGATAACTTGGGATATCCTGATTCTTCTCCTTGCTGTCCGCAAACCCATTATGAAGAGAATATTTACCCTTGCTCCACGGTTTCCCAATATTCTGCTTCCGGTTTCTACGTTTCACAACCAGTCAGTCTCCATGCGGATCTGGCGTGATAGTCTCCGAAACCTGCGAAATTGATTGCTTCCCTGGTTGGGCAGCAGAATTTGCACTCTGCGGTGTGTCCCCTGACGGCTGCTCCACCCCCGCCTTCTCTCCCACTTCGTGTGCCGTTGACTCGGGCCTAGTTACCTTTAGGCAGTTTCGCAGAACATGCCCATAGCATCCACACGACGAGCACAGCAGATGCAAACCCTCATATTCCACGTTATACCAAACACCATTGAGGAAGAACCTCCCTATGAATGGTTCGTTGAGGTTTATCTCTACGCAGACCCGTGCAAACCTGCCCCGTGTCATGTTCAGAGTGTTAAGGTCCACCTTGACTGGTTTTCCTATGGCAGATGCAATTGTTAGGAGAACACTCTCATCATAGAACATAACACCAAGCCCTAGGAACCTGATCCTGACGAGAGTGCTGTCAACCTTCGTTGCTGAGGCGACGAACTCCGGGGACCAAGGTCTAACAATCAGATAGTGATCAAAGAGCATCCAAGGTCCCCCGTGCATGACCCGTTCTCTATCCGCCTCCAAATCAAACTTCACCATGAAGTAACCATGTGACACGTCCAGCAACTCGAGACCTCCTTGAACCTTCCACAGGGTAGGCAGCCTGTCCCACAAGGTTAAGAACCCCACATCTCGTCCCAGTAGCTTGATCACTAGACATTGTTCCCATGGTTCACACAACTGCTTAAAGGTGGGTGCCGTGATGCTAAACTTGGGTAGCAACCGATCTCCACCCTCAAATTCCAACGTCATCACCCCCTCCTTAATAAGATCTCGAACAGCCGGCCGCTTGGCCTGGGCACCCAGAACCTTCTCCTTGAATGTCATCGACTGGCTCATCTTGAGGCCCCCAACGCCCCCGTCCGGCGGCTCCGACGGTGGTTGGCTCCCCATTGGCATTCCCCAAATCCTCTCTCCCATCTTATGGAATCCTTTTTCTACCATTTAGTAAACATTACTTGCAAATTTATTTTTGCAAGAAAATCTACAAGAAACAAAATAAAATTCTTACTATATTTTCTGCAAATTTTTACCATGAAAAAATTTCTATGATCATTAAAATTGTAGCAAAATTTATAAGAAATATCTGTAAACTATTTTTCGCAAATAAATTCGAAAAAAATTTATGCGAATATTTTTTGGCAGGAAAATTCGCAAAAAAATTCTGCGAATATTTTTTTGTAGGAAAATTCACAAAAAATTTCTACGAATATTTTTTTACAGGAAAATTCGCAAAAAAAGACACTTTTCCAATAGTGCTGCAAAAGGCACTTTGACGCTCAAGTCAAGACAAACACGAATCTTGATAGTAATAAATGAATAGTAACATATCTCGTTTTGTGTACTACAAAAAAATCAAGATTATCTATGGAAGAAATCCGTAGATAAGCCTTAATTATCTACGGATTATCTACAGCCAAAAATTCATAAGTAATAAGGTCGTAGATAATGTTATCTACGGATAAACTTTCCGTAGATAACGTTATCTACGACTTTATTACCTACGGATTACCCACGAAAGTTGTTATCTACGGATAAAATTCGTAGATAACCTTCAGAAATTTTTTGTTTAATTTTAATAAATTTATTAATGTAACAACCCTCATATTTGGCCTATCAAGGATACTATTTCACGACACTTCACTTTTCAACGTGTTTTGTCCTTACTACACAATTTTTGAAAAATTTCCCAGAAGGTCACCCATCCTTATATTACTCCAAGTCAAATACGCTTAACTGTTGAGTTCTGATGAGATAAGCTACCAAAAAGCAAATACATGTTGTCAATATAATTAAGTAGTACAAATTAATTCAGTTAAGTCATCCTCAACTATACAATCTCATACTTATACTGTCTTTGAATCCCTCTCATTTTGGTGTGTCCGCACCGCTATAAAAATATAAAAATATATATAATAATTATATTACAAATAATATAATTATATTATATTTAATTAATTTTTATTTATACATATACACTTACTTTTATAATTAACAATCTACTTAGTTCTATTTAAAATTAATATTATGATACAATTTAAATTATTTATTATAAATTTAAAAGTTTAAATAATAATTTATATATTTTAAAATGATAAAGGTTATAATAACACCGGTGTAACTTTTACTAAGTATTACACCACTCAATAACTTTATATTAAATGTAAATTTTGTAAATCCAACCGTTAGATTGAAAGTTCATATCACTTTATATGTTTATATCAAATTTTGTTAAAATTGAACAACAACTTGAAGGTAATCAAAGTGTTCATATTTTAGTATATTTTGAAATGTATATATTACGTCAATTTTGTTTTACAAGAATGAAGTATCAAATCATCTTGAATTAATATAAAATTTTGTATATATGAGCTAAGAGTAAAAAACTTTCAATCTAACGGTTGAATTTATAAAATTCACATTTAATATAAAGTTATTGAGCGATGTAATACTTAATAAAAGTTACACCGATGTTATTATAACCCTTCTTTTAAAATTAAATTTTAACATTTTAAATAAATTATTAATTAACTTAATATATTTATTCATCTTAAATCTAAGATATAAAATTCAAAAAAATGTATTTATTCTTGTTTTATTTTCTAATTATCAACCATTAATAAAATACAAATTTAAAATCTTATCTAATTATATCATAATATTTTCACATCAAATTTAAAACTAGATATTAGTATGTTATTTATTTTTAATATCATTAATTTATAAAAATAAAAAATTTAAAATGACATTTTTTAATAATATTTATTTTTTTACTAAATATTCTTTACATTACTTTGAGTATAAAAAATTTTATTCTGCATCTCGCCAAGGTTATGTATGGAAAATCTGTAGGTAATCTTAATTTTTTCATTACCTACTCACCATATGTTATTTACTGAAAATTTTCGTAAGTAACTAAAAATTATATAGAAAAAATTTCGTATATGTAATTTTTAGTTATCTACTAAAAATTAAGATTAACAAAGCTTTGCATTTAAATACTTAATTCGCATATCTAGGACATAAACTTGAGATCACTGAGTAAATAAGGTAATTTACACACTTGGCAGTTAAAAACTCGTTACTTTACCATTGTACGCGCGCATTGTATGAATATATTTTAAAGTTTTATTATTTGTATTAAGTTTTTATATAATATTATAAAGTTTTGAACTATATTTTATAAAAATAATCATAAACTGTAAGAGCTACTTTGTATTTTTGGCAAATATCTTGTTACTAAAATATACTTTATCCGATTGACGTTTTTCTATTCATAAGATTAGCATCAACTTAAAATAACAAATCCCTCAAAAATAAGGAAGTCGTTAGACTTCATGGTCTACCCAAAACTATTGTTTCAGATAGGGATACTAAGTTCCTTAGCCATTTCTGGAAAACTCTTTGGAGTAGGCTAGGAACTAAACTACTTTTCTCTACTACTTGTCACCCTCAAACTGATGGGCAAATAGAAGTAGTTAATAGATCCCTATCTACAATGTTAAGGGCAGTCCTTAAGGGTAACCATAAGTCTTGGGATGAGTACTTGCCCCATATTGAAATTGCTTATAATAGGGTAGTCCATAAGATGACCAAAATCTCACCTTTTGAGGTTGTGTATGGTTTTAACCCTCTTACTCCTTTGGACCTAATACCCCTACAAGATTCTTCACACTATTTTCATAAAGAAGGGGTATCTAGGGCTGGATTTGTTAAGAAATTACATGAGAAGGTTAAAACTCATATACAACAACAAAATGAGAGAACTGCTTTGGAAAGAAGCAAAGGAAAGAAAAACCTCATCTTTGAGGAAGGAGATTGGGTTTGACTTCATTTGAGAAAGGAAAGGTTTCCTTCTCAAAGGAAGTCTAAACTCAACCCAAGAGGAGATGGTCCCTTTCAGGTCCTCCAAAGAATCAATGATAATGCCTACAGATTAGATCTTCCCAGTGATTATGGAGTAAGCAACACTTTCTAAACCTTGGTAGGTTAGGCTGACCTCACCATGGTTCTTAAGTGAACCATGGTCAAGGTTAGCTTCTCCTACAAGTTATGATGAGGAACATGAACCTACATATTTGAGGACAAATCCTTCTCAAGAGGGAGGGCATGATAGACCATGCGCCTAGGGCCCAGTCATTCGAGCTATGGCTAGAAGAATTCAAGAAGAGTTGGACCTCTTGAAGACTAGTGGGCTTTTCAAGCCCAAGGTATTCTTCACTTGGACTACTCTATCATAAAGAGAAGGCCTAGTTCTACTAGTGAATATTGTATAGTTTGTACATAGTCTCTTGTATAGGTTATTTTTGCCTTTGTAATTGTGAGGCACTTTATTTGCTTTTTCTAGTGTGCCGATCTGCAAAACATGCGTGCCAAGCACGAAACTGACCTAGCGGCATTGCGTACCGCTAACGAAGCTGACCTAGCGGCACTGCGCGCCGAGAATGAGCGTATCCGCGCTCAACTCCCTCGACGTCCCTCTGATCAACCCCCTCAACCGAGTAACCTGCATGAGGAGGAAGGCCATTCGGTTTCTCAACCGCCAGCCGCGACTAGGGCACCAACTCCCAGACCTGCCACACATCGTTCTCACGTACCAACGAACAGGTCGGCACATGACATCAGCAACGCTCCTCCCCATGGCACGGGAAATCAGGCGACCTTCCGCCGTCATCCTTTTGTGGACGGTATCATGGAGATACCTCTTCCTTTCGGGTGGAAGCCTCTCCACATCGACCGTTACGACGGCACAACCGACCCGGATGAGCACATTGATCTGTATACCACACAGGTAAATCTTTACACTAATGAGGATGCTGTCCTGTGTAGGGTCTTCCCGACCTCGCTCAAAGGGGTCGCGCTCAACTAGTACACTCAGCTACCTGCCGAGTCCATCGATAGCTTCGGCACCCTGGTCAAACGGTTCACAGCACAGTATGCGACAAGCCGACCTCATCACATAACATCAGCAGCCCTGGCCAGTCTCTGACAGAGTGATAACGAACCACTCCGGACGTTCATGGAACGATTCGCCACCATCTCGGTAAAAATCCGGAACCTAAATCCCGAGGTCGCTCTACACGCCATGCTCATGGCACTTAAGCCCGGACCATTTGTCGACAGTCTATGTCGTGAAGCTCCTCGTGATATGGACGAGCTCCGTGCCCGTGTTGCTGGGTACATTCAAATGGAGGAACATTCTGCTTTCCGTGACCAGGTTCGCGAAAAATCACAAGCCAAACCTGACAGTGGCCACAAAGACAAGATGAAGGTCACCAATGACATCCAGTTCAAGAAAACTGCTAGGACAGGCAATGGGGGGAGATACGACTTCTACACTCCCCTGAACACGCCCAGAGTTCACATCTTGGAGGAGGCCAATAACAGCAACTTGCTCACCCTGCCACCACCACGTCATACTCCCAACAGTGCAGATAAGTCCAAACACTGCCGGTATCACAGGAACCACGGTCACACGACTGAAGAGTGCCGCACACTCCGAGACCGCATTGAGGAACTCATCCAGGCGGGCCACCTCGCCCAATATGTCCAACGACAGTAGGGCCACCGAGGAGGCTATGGTGGACGAGGACGAGGTAGAGGACGTGGTTCAGGAACTCGCACGGACCAACCCTATGGCACTCAACAAAATGCCAGAGGAGCAGTGCAAGCTGAGGTAAGCCAAGAAACAGGATTAGCTCCCCTACGGAGAGTAATCAACACTATCGCAAGTGGTTTCGCAGGGGGGCGCCAGCAGCTCAGCCCGGAAGAGGCACCTGCGCAATATCAACAGCATCCACTCCACCACCTCGGCCTCGCACCAAAGCTCACCCCCGATCACCTTCACCGATGACGACTATGCTGGTGTCAGCCCCAACCAGGATGACCCCATGGTCATAGCCGTAGAGGTAGCTAATTGGGAGGTTCACAAGACACTGATAGACTAAGGGAGCTCGACTGACGTCCTGTATTGGCCAACCTTCCTCAGGTTAGACATCCCTGACTCTCTCATCCAACCTCACATAGAGCCCCTAGTCAGTTTTGCAGGAGAGCGAGTACACACTCGGGGATACGTGGATCTGCTGACCACTTTCGGAACCTCTCCAGACACAAGGCGGATCATGGTCCAATACCTCCTCGTGGAAGCCAACACCTCATATAACATAATCATAGGGAGGCCGACCCTGAATCAACTCGGAGCAGTGGTGTCTACCCCGCACCTCACCATGAAATTCTCGGGGAGCGGTGGGAAGATTATCTCCGTCAGGGCAAACCAGAAAACATATATATATATATATCATTCGTATTCTAAATTATCACTTAAACTCACCGACTACAGTTCATTTTTCTTTTGGTAAGTGTATCATCCACTGTTCTTGGATAACGCGAAGCTTCAACATCCTAACGATAACCACAATATACATTTATCTGCTTCTTTTGAAGTTAGGATGGCAACCTAGGAAAAAAATTCAAATTTTCAATTTTAAATCTTTAAGGTATAATTCAAATAGAGATTTTATTTATTTTTAGAACATCATTTAAAATTATAAATATTATTTTATTCTAAAAATTTATTTTTCCTTTTAAGATTAGAATGATAGATTAATAAATATATATGTTTTTAATGTGAGAACAATCATTCAATTTGCGTTGGGGTCACCAAATGATAGAAGATATATGGAGGAGAATTTAGAGAGTTTTGTGTCGAAAGTTTCCAAGTTACTTCTAGAAAACTTAAAGGATTAGCAAATTTTGCTAGAAAATTTATAAATAATGATTTTTTCAAGTTTTGCTAGAAAATTTGTAAAGGAAGATTTTAAGTTTCATCTATAAATTTTGTGAGGAATAATTTTTAATATTTCAACCACAAAACTTGAATGAAAAATTTTCAAATACATATGAAAGATTGAACTACGCTAAATAAATTTTATGTATCTTTCTTTAATTTTATGATATTTTTATATGTACTATCATCCTTGTTACATGTAAAAGAGAAATTTTTTTTATTCTCAACAATGATATCATATCTCATGATTCATATAGATTGCTGACTTATTACTTGAATATTGAAGATTGACATATGACAAATTAAATACTTACAAAATAGGGACAAAAAATATTGCAGAGCAAAAGTATAAAAATGATTGTGATGAGTATTCATGATAACAAAAAATATCAAATTTGAAAAATTTTATTAAGGAAGGAGTTAATGGGAGAACAATTCAAATTTTCAATTTTAAATCTGTAAGTTATTGTTTATATATATATATATATA